ATTTGAATTTCACATTGTTTTAAAGTGGCTTTTGCTCTCTAAGATTCTGATGGTAAATATCTCTTTTACTACAGAGAATGAGGTTAAGGGAATGGCAATTGAAGCTCAGACCTACTGCTTTTGAAACACAGCTCTGAGAAGACATCCTGGTCTCTGGCACATGAAACTATCTAAGTATGGGGACTAGGAGAGCCTGTGTTTAGGAGCTTGCTCTGCTTTTTTTTTTTTTTTTAATTAAGATTTGCTCCATTTGGGTATTTACAATGTCTCTCTCCTATCTTTTCTTGTTACCACTTTTTTTTTAAATCTTCAAGTTTTAAAATTCTTTTTTTCTCACTCTCCCTATTTTTTTTTTCCTTTTGGTATTTTTTTTTATTATGTTATGTTAATGACCATACATTACATCATTAGTTTTTGATGTAGTGCTCCATGATTCATTATTTGTGCATAACACCCAGTGCTTCATTCAGTACGTGCCTTCTTTAATACCCATCACCAGGCTAACCGCCCCCCCTCCAGAACCCTCAGTTTGTTTCTCAGAGTCCATAGTCTCTCATGATTCATCTCCCTCTCCGATTTCCTCCCCTTCATTTTTCCCTTCCTGCTATCTTCTTCTTCTTTTTTTTAAACATATAATGTGTTATTTGTTTCAGAGGTACAGGTCTGTGATTCATCAGTCTTACACAATTCACAGTGCTCACCATAGCACATACCCTCCCCAATGTCTATCACTCTCCCTATTTTTGACTTTTGTTTTTATAAGTTATCATCTTTAAGAGAAGCAGGAATGATTTAAGCTCATGAAGAGAAAGGTATTCATGTATACCAGCCCTATACAATAGAATTTTCGGAGATGATGGAAATTTTCTCTATCTGCCCTGTCCAATACAGAACTTGCTAGCCATATGTGGCTACTGAGGGCTTAAAATGTGGCTTGGTGGCACTAAGCAATGACAACACACTAGAGACTTGGGGGAAGAATTATGAAGAGAAACAAGGTAGAAAAAAAAGACTCTTTTAATTCTATGATTAAAGTTCTGGATTGCTTGTTCTTCCCCCACCCCACCCCCACCCCCGAAAAATGGCTTATGTGCATGAAACCTGCCAAAATGAACACAGCAAACACTTATAGAACTGAAATATGGTGTGCAATACCACATTTACAGATTGGACTCAGAGAAGCACACAGGTGAGGGAGACCAAAATAACACTGCAAAGCTTTTGAAACTAAATTAACATTCAAACCACAGTCCACAAAACTGAGTCCAGACATGTTCAGGGTTGATTGCCTGCTAAAATATATGATTTAAAAAGAAACCTCAGTCTTTTAACATAATACTCAAAATGTTCAGGAATCAATCCAAAATCATTCATTATACCAAGAACCAGAAAAGCCATAGCTCAAATGAGGAAAGTCAATAACATATGCCCTGCCAAGATCACACAGAGGTTGGAATGAAATGACAAGGTTTTTAAGTAACTGTCATAAAAATACTCCAACAAGCAATGCATGAAAGGGAAAACTGAAACAAAAAGCAGTGGGAACAAACAGAAAACAATAAAGGAGCTGACCTAAATTCTATCATATCACTAATGACTTTAAAAGTAAATGGCTTAGCCCCCTTTCCTCAGCTGCCACTGAAGTCCTCGATCACACCGAGGAAGCTTCACTTCATCCAGCCACTCGGCCGCACCATGGCCTCGGCCTGGGAGCACGTCTGCATGGACTCAGCCCTCATCCTGCATGACGATGATGTGCTGGTCATGGAGGATAGGATCAATGCTCCCTTTAAAGCAGTGGGTGTAAAGGTTGAACCTTTCTGACCCTGCTTGTTTGCAAAGACCCTGGCCAATGTCAACATCAGGGGGGCCCATCTGCAATGTCGGGGCTGGTGGTTCTGCCCCAGGAGCCGGTGCTGCCCCATCAAGAGGTCCTGCTCCCTCCACTACCGATGCCCCAGCTGTGGAGAAGAAAGTGAAAGCAAAGAAAGAAGAATCAGAGGAGTCTGACGATGACATGGGCTTTGGTCTTTCTGACTAAACCTCCTCTGTAACCTATTTAATAAAAAACTGAACTCTTAACAATAAAATAAATAAATAAATAAATAAATAAATAAATAAATAAATAAATAAATGTAAATGGCTCAAACACACCAATTAAAAGACAGAGACTGGCAAAATGGATTAGAAAATATAATCCAACTATGTGCTGTCTACAAGAAGCTCAGTTCAAATATAGGTATGATATAGGTAACCTAAAGTATAAGAATGCAAAAAGGTATATTGTGTGAACATTAATCAAAGAAAGCTGGAGTGTCTATATTAATATCAGCCAAAGTAGACTTCAGAGCAAAGAGAATTAACAAGGACAAAAAGTGGCATTATAAAATTGTAAAAAAGATCAGTTACGTAAGAACATATAACACTCCTAAATATGTATGTACTAAGCAGCGAACCTGCAAAAATATGAAGCAAAAATTGCAAAACTGGACGGAGAAATAGACATCCCACAATTATAGCCAGGGCTTCTCTTAGTAATTGATAAACCACCAGCCAAAAAAAATCAGCACAAAACCTGAACAAGAATGTTTGTAGCAGCTTTATTTGTAAATCAAAAACTGATAACAACATAAATGCCTTCCAACACGTGGATGGATAAACAAATTATAGTATATCCATTGCTATAGACTGAATGTGGACCCCCACTTTTCAAATTCATATGTTAAATCCTAATGCCTATTGTGATAGTATTTGGAGGTGGAACCTTTCGGAGGTGATTAGGTCATGAGGGGGGAGTTTTCATGAATAGGATTAATGCCCTTATAAAAGAGAACCCATAGAACTCTGTTACCCCCTTCTAGCATGTGAGGACACGGCAAAAAGATGGTTGTCTGAAGCAGAAAATGGGCTCTTGCCAGACACCCAATCTGTACACAGATTGATCTTAGAATTCCCAGCCTCCACAATGATAACAAATATATTTCTGTTTTTTAATAAACCATGCAGTCTATGGCATTTTGTTACTGCAGCCCAAATGGACTAAGACATCCATACAATGGAACAATACTGAAACAAACTGTTGATATATGCCATAACCTGATGGATTTCCAAGGCATTATGATGCATAATGAAAAACCAATTATATTAATGTTACAGTCTCAAAATGACAAAATTATATTGATGAATGACAGATCATGTTTGTCAGGAGTCGGGTTGGAGGGACAGTGTGATTGTAAGAGGTGATGAAACAGTTGATGATAATCTTGATGATGATCATGGTTACACAAATCTATATACATGATAAAATGTCATAGAACTATACACCCCCCAAAATGTGCATATTAAAACTGGCAAAAATCCAAACCATATAATTATTATAGTAATTAGATAGTTAGATAATAGTATGGTACCACCATCAATTGGTTGGCTTTGATAACTATGCTGTGGTTATATAAGATATTATTGGGGGTAACTGGGAGTAGAGTCCATGGGAACTCTGTATTATTTCTGCAACTTCTGTGTGAGCCTTAAATTATTTGAAAACAAAAATATTTTTTTAAATGTGGCTAGATCAACGGATGAACTGAATTTTTCGTTTAGTTTGATTTTTATAAATTTAAATAGCTGCATGTGGCTACTGGCTTTAGTATTAGACCATGCAGGTCATTACTAAGTTTCACCAAATAACCTTTTGATTTCCCTTTGCTCTTATTCCAAGGCTCCTGAAGGAAAGTTTCATGTATGAAAAATTTATCCAACGCATAAAATATAATCTATATTTTTTCAGTCTCTCTCATCAAGTACAATACTATACCAAATCAGAGCATAATGAAATTCAAGTTTGAAAAGCAATGCATTTGGTCATTTTATCATTTTTTATTCCATTCTGATGACTATTGTGGATCAACTCAGCTAAGTTGTAAAAGTTTTAAGACTTATAACCTTGTTTTGTAAGCTCACTGAATAGGAAGAAGTCTATAGTTATTTAGAACCTTAATTATCTCTTTTTACTAACAAAATCTAAGCAAGTTACTACCTCCAAATCCCTAGGAATGAACAGTTGATCTTTTGACTTTCCCTGCCAGAATAAGTGACTTTAAATCTTTGCCAACACAGGTTAAGAGATCAACTCTTCTCTCAGAGCCCACAGAAGCCAAACTCCTCTGACTTGCAGAAGGGGTTTGATTCTGTCCCCTCTTTTCATTCATCCCCTTCTACCTTTCCCAAAGCATCCTCACTCTAGATAAAATATACAAGCTTATGATGAGGCAAATTTATGGTGTGCTGGCTCAACCCTCCTCACTTCCTGCCCCAGCCCCACACAAAAGCAAGAGTCTAATCATAACGAACTGCCCAAGCTTTCCTGGGGGCACTCAAGGGTGGGGACTCTTAAGGTTATTTTGGGACAGATTGCTCTAAAGTTCTTCCAACCACTCCTAAAGTGATAATGGAGGCTTGTTGGGACCCCTCACCTTGGGGAAAGGCTAAGCCTAATTGTCTAGAGATTTCCAAAAAGGAATATTAGGATTCTTTTCAGTGGTATATGGGGGGGGGGGGGTAGGGAGTGAGCATTAATACTACCATTGTTTAGGATTGCCAGCTCATGATAATAATAAAGTGCATACTGACGTTTAGTTGGTCTTTATCACTGCTTAAAATTCTCTACAGATGGTGCACCCACTTTTGCCTGTACTAGGGAAAACTATTCCTATCACCCTCCCTTCAGAAAGCCACTGGTTTTCTCCCTTCTGTGTCCAGAGCATACTCTGCTGTCACCTTTCCAGACAAACTGAGGGAGACTCAGATATGACCCTAAAGCGTAAGTTCTGAAAAAGCAGGGGAGAGTCGATTTCCCTCTTGATATTCTCTAACAGGTAACACAATGCTTGGCTCTAATCAGTGTTTAGGAAGTTATTGTGAAATAAATAGAGAAATGAGTTAGTTTATATTTCACAGACAGAAATGACCATTTTTCTTTTCTTTTTTTTTTTTTTTTTCAGGCTAAGAGATGACTCCACGAAATAGATCTCAGTTAACTGAAAAATACCTCTCTGGACAGGTAATTCCCATTTGCTCAAGGGCACTTTTCCAGGTAAAAGAGCAGGTATGAGCCATTAGCTGACCAACTCACACTAGCTGTGGGATAAGTGCACTGGCCTGGAAAAAAGGGATCTTGGCAGGGCACCAACAGCATGTATGATACTCTATCCCCTGTAACACCTGTATCCAGTTGTTTCTCACATGAAATTCCCTCCATCTTGGAAGAGGTTTTCTAAGATCTGGTTATGATGTTTAGAGGTGGTATTTAGCGGCTGACTGACATTAACTGGTTGAGTCATTCTATCTGTAGTTATTTCATGACCGGTAAATTAAATGGAGCTGATGAAGACCATGATCCATTCACCTTTTAAGTCTTTGAGGGTGGTACCAATCTCTGCCTTTCCATCTGGGATGTGATATTGTTTTTGATACATTACCTTAAACATTTAAGGGGGCTATTCACTTGGTTTTTCCTACTGTAACAACTTTTTCCACTAGTCATTGTGTTAAGTACACCTATGCTGATCATAATTTTCTTTTTTTTATGTTATGTTAATCACCATACATTGCATCATTAGTTTTTGATGTAGTGTTCCATGATTCATTGTTTGCATATAACACCCAATGCTCCATGCAGAACGTGCCCTCTTTAATACCCATTACCAGGCTAACCCATCCTCCCACCCCCCTCCCCTCTTGATTATAATTTTAGTGAGTCAGGAAATAGCTGCCAGGTGGGTTCATGAACCCTGTGGACCCAATTTGAGATGGACCTAGCCTAGAACTCTGGACTCACATATGGCCCTTCTCTAACAGGAGGATCCATGATGGTACTCTTGGTTTTTCGGTATCATAATCAACTCAGATCCCTGATTCAACAACCCACTTTCCCCAGTGTATGTTTATTTGAGTAAATGGCCATTGGCCCTTTTGTAGAAAGACTGGGGGAAACACTGCTATATACACTTTCCATGGTGTTTCAAGATCCTTCCTCATAGGAACTTGCCATTACTTCAAGCAGTACGTTATGGTCTAAGAATTAGCTCAAGTCTGTAAACTGACTAAGAGATGATGATTTTCTACTGAGGTGGTAGACCTTAGTCTTCTGCTCATCTATTCATGATCTATTTTGATTGATGATACACATTAAGCAAGACCCTTATTCCTTGCCCATCGATCTCATTCTGGAAACACCATCTTCCACTAGGTAGCTCCAGAAATCTCTGAGCAGAGCCTGCTAATCCATCTGCTGTGCACTTTGATGATCTTGCCCACCTAGCTTCTGGCCATCTGGCCTCTGTTATTCTGAAATCCTATCATCCCCATTGTTATCAGAGAGCACCGTTCGATAGCAGAATCTCCTATCGTTAATCCTGATCTACATGGGACAGCCGCTACTGAACTTCTAAACAATGCTGGTGCCCCCCGCACCTAGGAGAGGAAGTTGCAATATTCTCCATGGAAGAAGGCAGCTGTGAGCCTCCAGCAGCCAAAACTCACAGCAGCTGTAAGTTGGATACAACAGGTTGAAGAAGGGAATCTGGACAGGGCAGCAATGGCATCCACTGCAGGGTCTTTCCTTTCTGCCCCAGGTCCCTACTACATGGCTTTGTCTCAGTCCTCGCAAGTAATGATGTTATCTGTTCACATGACTGTCCCTCACCATAAAGGCTTTCCTTATGGTGTAACTTAATTTAATCTCAATACTGAGGTGTTTTCCCAATGAAGTTTATGTGCTCTTTCTGAGCCCTGCATGAAAAATGACTTTGACCAACTTAGCTTTGTTTTCCCTGCTATAAAAATTTTGCAAAGATCATCTTTCAATCCATATAACTCATGCCAAATTACTACTGATTTTCTTTCTGATTAAAAAGCATCCATAATTCTTGTAGTAAATTTGAAAAGAAAAACATAAAGGGAAAAATAATCTAATCTTGCTATCTGAATACAACCACTGTTAACAATTGCATTTACTCCCAAATATTCCTCTCTGTGTATGCATATATATCCTATTTTTAACTTAACATGACTTTATGTGAATTTTCTCATGCCATGAAAAATAATATTTGTAAGACTCTTTTTAATGACTACATGATACATTGTCATATGATTGTACTATTATTAATTTAATTAGTTTATTTAAACAGTCTCCTGATTTTGGAGATATAGATTTTTCTTAATGTTTCAATTGTTATTATAAATAACATTGTAGTGAACACATTTTTTTTAAATAATTGAAGTATAGTTGACATACAACATTAAATTAGTTTCAGGTGTACAACATTATGATTTGATGAATCTATGCAGTAGGCAATGATGAACACATTCTTTTTGTCTACCTTTCTAGTCACTTAATTCATACAGTAATCACTTAACCAACAGATATTGGCTTAGCTCCTATGACAAGCCAGAGGCACTGTGCAATCAGCTAAGCACACAGCAAAAGACAATTAATTAATTCAATAAACAAATTCCTTAATAATTCTTCATGAAACCCCCCATTATGCAGTGAACATTTAGCTTTCCTTGACAAGTCCATACTCCTGGAAAACTACTTTTTATAAATATTCAGAAAAATGTGACAATGCTGTAGGGCTTTCAGAAGACATGTGGCTGCACCTCTTCACATTGATTCTTTGTCCCAAGGCTGCCATTCACTGTATTTTAGGCAAGGTAGCTCTTATCTCAAGAGTAGGGTTTCAGCTGCTAGAATACTTTCTGACTCTCAATCACTTTCTCTGCCTTAAACGCTTTATAACTGTTCCTTGAAAAACACTCAAGCCAAGAAGGTGGTACAATTAGCATTTGCCTCAATACTCTCACAGAAGCTCTCCCCAAGATAATTTTACACTCAGCCACAGACACATTATACGATTTTTTTTCAGGGGATTACCAACTGGAAACGAGAGCTGAAATGTATCCTATACAGTACAATTGTACATACAAAGTACTAACGTCTTAAGAGACACAATGTCACCCTATCTACGGAATCTAGCTGGCAAACGAAATATTCAGCAAATATTTATTACATGGCAGTATCTGATTTGAATGTCAATGTCCCCTGAATTTCTTTACTGGTCTCCAAACTCCTTTTCAGATTTCCTGAGTGCTTTTCTTTCTCTTCTCACCTCTAAGTCCATAAACACAGTGCATTGTTTCGCTTATCATCTCTAAAGAAGCAAGCTCTACTTGAATGACCCCAGCTCCCGGGCTAGTAAACGCTAAGTTGTAAACTGTTGGGGTGGAGAACGTAAGAACATACAATTATGTTTTGCTCTTAGTTAGATTTTGATTTAATCAATTCAGACAATGTGAAGCTGTGAGTTAAAAATATTCTTGTGAAGGGTTAGAAGGAATAGCTTGGTTTTCTGTATCCAAAGGAGGCACATGTTTATTTAGAAGCCTGAACTACAAATGTTTTAATACAGAGTTTTAAGGAATAGCTGTTTTGTGTGCACTCTTCTTGACTTCCAACATCTACAGTCCCTTCCAGGACCTAAGCTTCATGGGGATAGTAGATTTTGTTTATTTTGCTCATTTCTCTATTTCTAGTGCTGGGAGCAGTATCTAGTGCATGGTACATTCTCTTTAAATATTTATTAAATGTATGAATAAATAAAATACAATCCCCCAAATGTGCTTCATTTCACTTCCCCAGGGTATAATCATGAACAAATATTTGGTGTAGTAAGAAGGATCCTCATATTTAGCACTAATTTCATTCCTACTGTCAAGGTGGGTGTTCATCGGGTGTTCATACCAACTCTTTCTAATTGATGTTTTCAGAACTCCCCTTGCCAAACATTAGTGACTTTTGTCCTGCCATGTTTACATACCTGAAACCAAGCACAGGCACTTTTTGAAGTTAATTAAAGATTCACTTATGTTAAACATTTCCGGATGATAGCAAGAGACCAACTTGGCAGACAATAGAAATAATCTCTAGTACTTCCCTCTGTGATTTTTCTCAGACAGGTCTTGAAGGGTCTGGTCCTAATGGGATTGATAGATGCGAGATGGGGTGATTGGGAGATGCTGTGCTACTTACTGCCTATAGCAAGAGAATGCAGGTGCATTCAGAGACAAAGATCACCAACTTCCCCCTTTGCATATCAGAGAGCACGTTCTCCACGACAAATATAAAATCCCATAGCTGGCTTGGCCTGCCACCAGGGCCTTTCTGGTATGTCTTTCATTTATTTGTTCTTGTATGTTTGAAGGCTAACTTTAATACCAGCTTAAAAGATAACCTTATCAGATTGCTTCCCAATTTTATCATGTCAAAGTACCCTTTTATTTACTTTCGTCCATGATCCACTCGGTTTTGAAAGATTTTATCTATGTAGAAACTATTTATAAACTAATAATTAATTTTCCACTTCTGTTTTCTTTTAGAAACTCTGCTTCTCAGAGTTTGTCTTTGGAAAGTGACAGGCTGTTACCACAGGTGTTGATTTAGTTCCAGCCAAGAGAAGACTCGGTGTTAAGTTTATCACGGGTAAAATAGATGACTGTCCCGGGGCTCTTTGAAATAGTCAAAGTAGTTCGTGAGGACCTCTGGGGGTCCCAGGCTGAGAATCACATTAGGGCTGTACTTTGGGACCGACTGGGGAGCTTGTAAGTACTGGTGCCCAGGCCCCATTCCAGACCAATTAAATTAAGATTTCTGTGCCCTGGAGTCACTTTATTTTTTTGAAACAATAAATTCATGTGGTTAAAAAAGTCCAACAATACAGAAGAGTGATTTTAATGCATGACTAGGGTTAAAACCACTACACAGTGTAGCATATCTAAAGCAAATGTTAAAAACAAAACAAAAGAAAAAACTGAAAAGAAAGGAATAAGGGGGAAAGCCTGCCTTGGAGGATGCATCAAGAATGTGGGAAAGGCTTTTGGAACTCTGGGTCTGGCCTCTACCGTGCTAAAGCAACTCTCAGGAAAGTGAAGGCAGAGGTGTCCCCCTATCAGCTGAAGCCCCTCCCTTCCCAGGGCCCAGTCTCAATAACAGAACAGGGCACTGCCAAATCCGACAGGAAACAGGAGAGTGAGCTCCCACTCAAGATGTCTCAGGATTAAATTCCCTGCATTCAATTAAATATGTGGGGGCACCATTAATTTCTCAATTGGTGTTCTTCCTGCCAAGCAATCTTGCATTTTCAAACAGCTCTCTCTCTTTCCCACACAGCTTTGGTGTCATCCTTTCTCCCCAGCCCAATGTTTGCAATATTTTCTACTCTGCTGGTGGTCCCTGAGGCCCCACCTCTGGCCCCCTTGCTCCTGAATGGCGACCATTCAAAAGCTCAAGAGAAGTGACATGTTTATTAAAGATGTCCAATATTACCCTTTAGGCTTTACAGATGAACAGAAGCATTCCAAGGGAGTAGGGATATTTTTGCTGGAAAATTGCCTGTAGGAAAAATTGCCTGCAAAGGACAAAATTGATAAGAAGAAATAAACAATAAAATGAATGCCAAACATCTTAGGAAATGTGAAAATTCTCTGATTCAATATATTTCCAACTGTCTTGTAAAAATAGAGGAGACTTCCATGTGTTCATTTTGATAAATTTAGTATATTTTGTAGTAACTTATTGATCTCAGAAAACAAATACCCATGCTTTTATGACATTCATGTCTTTCTGAAAGCTAGGCATCGTAAGGGACCTCAAAAAATCATTGGACTTGGCCCTCTGGCTAAGTTAGGGAATGAAGCATTACGACTACCCTCAGAGGCCGCTTAGCTGGTAGACAGAACAAAGGCTTTGGAGAAGACTGGACCTGGGGTTAAACCTATGTTCTACTCTTGGGGCTCCTGGGTGGCTCAGTCAGTTAAGCGTCTGCCTTTGGCTGAGGTCATGATCCCAGGGTCCTGGGATTGAGTCCTGAGTCAGGCTCCCTGCTCAGTGTGGAGCCTGCTTCTCCCTCTGCCTCCACCCCACTCTCTCTCTCTCAAATAAATAAATAAAATCTCAAAAAAACCCCAAAAAAACACCAAAACCTATGTTCTACTCTTGACTAGCTGCATGATTGTAGGCAAATTTCTTAACCTTCACAAAGCTCAGATTCTGTACCTGTAGAGTGAGACTGATAATACCTGTTCCACAGAGTTGTTAGACAGCTTAAATGAGCAATGTCTACAAAGCATTTAGTACTGAGTCTGTTGTTTAGGAATAATTTTCACATATTGCTATCATTATTATTCAAAAAACTAAATTACATTGCCTTTTTTCAAAGAGTTTAAAATCTTTGGAGGAAATGATTAATGCAAAAAAAAAAGTGAAAATAATACAAATTAGAATATAATAAAATCCTCAACTAAGAAGAAAGACAAAGGAACAGGTTCTGGGTTAATGTCAAGACTGTGGGCTAGTTCTGGGATGACCATCAATGACTGTGTGACCTTGGGCAAGTTACTTAACCTTTCTGGGCTTGTTATTTCCTTATCTATAATATGAAATTATTAAAGTAGATGAGTATTTCCAAATTCTAAGAGTCCATGAACAACGAGAATCCTCCAACTATTCTTAATATTTCAAAAAAACTCAATAAAATTAGAGTTCGTGCCACAATAAAACTGCTCAAATTAGTTAAACTATCAAAATGCTTTGCTTTTGTAGGATTAGAAAAAAATCACTTTTGACTGAAAATATTACTTTCCATGCAGATGAGAAATGATGGTCAGCCATAATATTGTAGGAATTTGCAGAAGAGATAATGAAATGGATTCTTGGTTATTAAAAGGGTGGAAACTACTGTAGGACTCAAAATTTTCCAGTACTGTTTCCTATTTGATTATTTCATGGATTTGACCATATGTTCCTGAAAATCAGTGAAACAGGTTCTCAACTCAAAATTTTTATTCCTGTCTCCCCCATATTCCCTATAAAAACTTCTGCTCTTACAGCATCAGTTTCTTTCTTCCTGTGCTTTGCTTTTGCCTCAACATCTCTTCTCCTCCCAGGGTTACATCTTCCTTACAGCCTAGCCAGCTTGAAACCCAAACTACCCCTCCATGTCATACTCTTCTCAACAGCTATGGAACTTCA